AGATGGTTGAAACCAGACATGTGTTCTTGTGTGTTGAATTGTGCTAACTGATTCGCTTTAGAGCCATGTTTCTGACTGTTTCAATGACACAACCCGTCCTTACACATTTTGTTATGTCCTGTTAATGTTGCCATGATCTTAAATGCATTTCCAACATGTAAAAAATGCAGTTTTACACATTTCTTGAGACAACGGTAGTTGCTGTATCACTGTTTCCAGTTTTCCTCGTATTCTTTACCGATGGAGAGGATGAGATTACCATATCACTAGGAAGCCTAGCATCTACCTTTATTGCATTCAGTGAGTCCACAGATACATATATGTCTCAGCTTTCTTATTTTGTATTTGTTATAGGACACCTTGATGTTACCAATGTTATTATCTGATTTAGAATCTTCCGTTTCTTGCTATACAGTATTGAACATAGCATTTGCGCTAAGTGTCCTAGGCTTCCTAATCATGCACATAATGCTAGTCGCTCGTAACACCACAACTATTGAGGTAAAACAACTCATTCGCTATTAAGGTAATGGCAACAATCTTTACTAAAGCAAAGTAAATGCATTTTTATGGCAGGCATATGAGAAGTATACAGCTCCGAACTCTCCTTATAACCTTGGTCGTAAGGCAAACTTTGAACAGGTAATCATGTTAAAAGTATGGTCGACTATTTGGGTTGATAAAAGAACTTTCTGTTCTCCTTAAGATGAAATTTTGGAGGGTATAAACATACTTCAGAGATCTTAAAAGTTTTGTGTACTTTCTTTTGTGTGAACCAGGTTTTTGGGAGGGATAAAATGTATTGGTTCGTGCCATTGTACACAGAAGAGGACACGAAGAGGTTGCCGGCACTTGGAGGGTTAGACTTTACGAGCAGGTTGGAGGAGGAGTCAGAGCCGCTTCAGTCTCTATGACCTTAAAACTACAAAACTTTTGGAAATGGGTCTGTGTGTGTATTAAAGATTAGTGTTTTTTTTTTTATAATGGAATTTGATATTTAGTGTTCATAAGCTTATTAGCAGAGACAACATGTTCAATATTTTTTGGAATTCTTAGCTGAATATATTTTTAGATTTATGTTTGGTAAATTTTTAAAAATATTTGACCTTTACATACAAAAACAAAAAATCATGAAACAATTATTTATAGCAATTTTTATCTCTACCTACCATAGTATTGACTGCGTTATTTTAAAATTTAAAGACGAAGTTGTATAATAACAACATTCTTTTGTAGTAAATATGTTATTTTTACAGGAGAAGAATACCACACTCAAATGAACTACTGAATCAGTGAATGTGGTCATTTTTTTATTGTTATAGCGACCAAATTAATACCAAACTCCTGCTCATTTACAATGGTATTTGGTCTTTTATCATTGGGTTTTTTTTTTCTTTATTATACAAACAATTAGTCTTTTTTTCCTAAATAAAATTTCAATAAGTTATCACGAATGTGACACATACTGGTGTTGTGCTCATGAGTTCGATTACCGAAATATTTCTCTTGAAATGGTAATAGCAAAGGTTGGTCACGTCCCATATATAAGTTCTAGAAAAAAAAATTCAATAAGTTGGCAATTGCCAATTGGTATGCATGTAAATCACTCTAATCAAAACTTTAGATGCAATATGGCAAAATGACAGTTTCTATAATTAAACATAGCATATAAAGTAATAAATATCCTTGTGCACAAAATAGAGGTAATAAATATCCAAAAACAGGCATTTTGTTTCAGAATTAATAGAAAGTCTAAGAATGATATATGTTTAATTACAGAAATGGTGTTCGGGGAAGGCCGTGTAAACAACAGCCAATCATATCACGACTTGTAATAGCCTCTCGAGAAAATTCTTTAATCTTCCTTCCCCAAAGAAAATTGCATAAAGGGTTCAAAGAAATTCTCAATTTGGAAAAGATAAAAATTGCTCGTCTTTTCAATTTTTAATATTTGCAGATTTGCTTGTTGTTTGTTCAAAGGTATGAAACTTTGATCTCTAACTTGAAAATTTCCTGTTTGATTTGGTTTAATCGTTAGGTTTTTTTTTTCCGTTAAACCGATCGATATTTACTGCTTGATTGCAATAGCTGTTTAGGTTTTGCTCTTCTTTAGATTGATTATGTTCGTTAATTTGGTTGTATTGGCTTACTGCTTAGGTTTTGAGACTTTGTTTCGTTCTCAAGTTGTCTTGTTAGTGTTTTTATATGATCTTGTGTCTGAAGATGACACCTTTCATATGAATTGTGTAGTAAAGAGGTAAAGATGCAAGGAGGGGGTAGGGATCCTTTCAACTTTGGTGGCCCTTTTGGAGGTGGTTCTGGTGGCCCTACTAACAATGGTCCTCCGAATCTGATGTCTAACTTTTTCGGAGGAAGAGACCCTTTTGATGACCCTTTCTTCACTCAGCCTTTTGGTGGTGGCATGTTTCAGTCCAACTTCTTTGGTCCTACCATGGATCCTTTCGCGGGAATGCGTCCTCCAACAGGTTTTATCGAGAATCATCAGCAGCCACCACAGCCGAGAAGGTATCATGGACCGATTATTGAAGAGATTGATTCAGATGATGAGAATGAAGAGAAGAAAGTAAGGCTAGGGAAACATGGCAGGTCATGCACTGAGACTGAAACTGAAGAGGCTAGAGCTGAAGGTGATACAGTATTTTTGAAGCGGAAGGAGATTGTTTTTGTTTCTTTTGTAAGTGACTTTGTGTTTGTTTATGTTTCTGCAGAGAGAAGGAACAGACAAATGCAAAACATGAATGCAAATGATATGGTGAACAATGGACAATGGCAACCTCAAACTCATAGTTATAGTTTCCAGAGCTCCACTGTTACATACGGTGGTCATAACGGAAACTACTATACTTCTTCCAAGACCAGAAGGACAGGAAGTGATGGGGTGAGTGAGTGAGTTGTAACTGTTTAACGCATTTTAGTTTATGTTTTGACGACTAAAACTTGTCTGACTTGTGAAACACAGTTAACTCTTGAAGAAAGCAAAGAAGCTAATACTGCAACACGCGAAGCAGCGCATAGGATTTCAAGAGGGTTACATAACAAGGTAGTGTTTTATACATACCATGAGGATGATGAATATCTTTCTCCTTTGTTGGTGATCATTGAGGCTCAGTACAAGTGGTGTTCTTATGCTTGCAGGGCCATACAGTTGCGCGGAAACTTAACTCAGATGGTCGGGTTGATACAACGCAGACCTTGCATAATTTAAATGAAGGTGAGTAACACTTTTATGAATGAGAGAACCTGAAAATTCAGATAACCATACTGACCGTTTCTTTTCTCCAAAATTCTGCAGATGAGTTGGCTGATTTTGAGCAGTCTTGGAGTGGAAATGCTCGAATGCAGTTACCTGGTCGGTCTGGTTCCTTTGGCAGTAAGTAGTGAAATTACAACGTACATTTTTTTTTGGTTATTTCTTACAAAAAGAAAACCTGTCTTTTCTTGACATGGTTACAGGTGGTCTTGTAAACAGAGAGCAACCAATGTCGCTTCCTTCAACCGATCCAAGCTCTTCACGTGGAAGACCAGAGTCATCCAGAAGAACAAAGGCTGCAATGAATGTTACAGGACTGGGCAGAAACTAGATCTTAGGACTACCATGTCCTGTTAGTGAATGTAACCAAAGACACTATTATCTACTTTACTTAGGGTGCATCGTTACTGTAGCCCGTATGATGACATGACTTTGAGGCTTTTATGATAATGGTATATGCATGTTTTTATTACATTAACCTCTTCTTAGCTGCAAGTAATCAGTCAATCAGGCCAAGGAATTTCTTCAGCCATATATGCATGTTTTTATTACATTAACGACTCCTTAGCTGCAAGTAAATCAAGCAATCAGATCAAGGGATTTCTTCAGCCATAGACATCACTTCGACTATCTTAGTGCGATTCAGTTTTGAGATGATGGTATCAATTCTACCAAGGCATGATTTATTTTATTCTCTAGAAAACTAAAACAGGAACCAGGCCCTGCTTAAAGTTTGCAAGCACCATGTTCTGCAAATTGTCAACCTCGGGAGAAATATACTTGATGTTACAAAGTAGATTGGTTACTACATTGTCTAATTTGAGTTTGGAGGGTCTTCTGACTAATGCCAGTGAATGGACTGATCAGTTACAACATATACCATGTTTTAGTTTTCATGGAGAATCGAACTCATGACGAACTGCCACAAGAAATTACCACTATACTATCATCACTTGGTTACTCAAATCTTTTTTTTTTTGTTTTAAAATAATGATAAACCAACTAAATCTGGTTATAGGTAGGGATGTCAAATTTGGCCACGTACAGCGGGACAAGCTCGGTAAGAATTGTGGCAGGGTAGGTTTGGGCCAGGTGTTTAAGAGCCCGCAAAAAAGCGGGCCTAGCGGGATGGGCCTTCGCGGGTTGGGCTCAATGGTGAGATGGTCCACGGGCTTCGCGGTTAACCTAATGTCCCGCATGTGTTTCTTCATTTCCTCCGCCACCTACCTGCAAACAAAACAAAGGAGAGAGAGAGAGCAACAACGAACATATCAGCCTTAAATGAATCTCCGATGACTTCAAGAGTTCCGGTGACGGAGGATTATTACTCACAAGGACTCTGCCCGGTGTTGGAGGATCATCTTCTTCTCCCGAAAGCTGTGACAAGATAGTTGTTCTTGATTCTTGAAAGTCTTTCCACCGTAAGAAGATGGTCCTCCATCATCGGGTGGAATCTTGAGCGACGGATCTTGAGTCTCCTTCCTTCTGTCCATGCATGTCACCGAGGTAGTGAATCTTCTCTAACTTTGTTCTCCTCTTGTGGTTGATGTTGATTCCTTTAATCTTTTTAGTTTTTATGAATCTTCTCTGACTTTATTCTCCTAATTTTAGGTATATTCAAGAGCTGGTCATAGACTTCAAGAGCTCTGGTGATAGTGGCTTATTGCTCGCTGAAGATCCAAGCCGGTGGTGGTGGTTCAGCTTCTAAAATTTGTAGAACTAAAATCTGAACCACCGCCACCAGCTGAGATCTTCACGCCGGGTGTTGACTTCAAGAGTTCCGGTGACGACTCGGCTCCCCGACGACATGCGACCTCCTCCGAAGGTTTGATTCGGTTCTGTTCCTTCTGGTTCTACATGCATGCAAAGAAAATCATATATTAGCTTAAGACTTAAGTATATAAATTCCATGATTTGATTTTATTAGTGGATCTCAAAGTACAACATTTATCAATTAGGTTTTCATAGTTTATTGAATCAATGATTTGATTTCAAGCTAATCGTCCTAAGTTACTTTATTTTTCAGGTTGTTAGCTAGTTTGGACCACAAGCTCAAAACTCAGAAGGTACTTCTCTATTTTTTTTCGGACATGCATGTACATTAGTGGTTCGGTGATGTCTAATATTGTTATTTACAAATTGTTTTGTCTCGGTTATTAGACATCTTGTAGTATTATATATATTTTGCAGATTGTTACCTAAATAAGTATTAGTTACTCTGTTATTTGTTGTTTGTATATATAAAAGTAGATTGATATGTCTCTGCTAAATTTTTTAAATTGGTTTGATTGATTTTATTGTGTCTGTCAAACAAATGAATTATATATGATTGCTTGAATTGAGTGTTACATGAGTTGCTTTGCTTGAACTGATATTACTTGTGTTCTGTGTCGAGTTGATGGAGTGATGGTGAGATTTTTATGTTAGTATTCTGTTAATTGAGTTGCATTACTTATCTTTACTAGGTCAGTGAGTTTAAGCCTCCGAGCTTGTTAAAAATCATCCTAAGGACTGAAGGGTGATTGTTCACGAGCTCGGCGGCTGAACTCACTGCAAAGTTAAGACAAGACTGAACTCATTGACTTTTTGAATTGCGATGTTTGTTGTTCAGCATAGTACAGCATGATCTACCTTACTCGTACGTGGAGTATGAAAAACTGAGAGACACATGGAAGTATTTAAATGTCCAGACCATTTGTCAAAACACAGCGAGAGCAGATGTGTATCGATTATATAAAAGTGAGAGACACACTAAAGAGGGAATTAGGGAGTCTTCCTGGAAGAGTGTCTTTCACAACTGACTTGTGGACATCAGGGAAACGGGAAGGATACACGTGTGTGATAGCACATTACATTGATCGGAATTGGAAGTTGAACATTAAGATCATGGGTTTTTGTGCTCTACCTCCACCACATGACGGTATGAAAATTGCGATCCGCTTCCTTGATTCGCTAAAAGAGTGGGGAGTTAATAAGAAGTTATTCTCTGTCACTGTAGATAATGCTACAAGTAATGACTTGATGCAAGATATTGTGATATCCCAGCTCAATTTGAGAGATGATTTGCTGTGTGACAGAGAGTTATTCCATGTTAGATGTGCAGCTCACATACTGAACCTCATAGTGCAAGATGGGTTGAAGGTTATTGGTGATTCTTTGCACAAAGTAAGAGAGTGTTAAGTATGTATTAGGATCAGAAACGCATGAAAATTTATTTGAAAAATGTGTGGATGCTGCGGGTGTAGAAGAAAACTGGGGGGGGGGGGTAATACTGGATATGTCGACAAGATGGAACTCGACTTTCTATATGCTTGAAAGAGCCATCAAGTACCGTAAAGCATTTTTTTAAGTTGGAGACATTTGATAAGAATGATTATAAGATGGCGCCCACACATGAGGAATGGACTATAGCTGAGAATATATGCTGTTTTCTGGGTCCTTTTCTGGTGATCACAAGCCTGATGTCTGGTTCAAATTACCCTACTTCGAACATGTATTTCTATTAGGTTTAGAAGATCCAGAGTTGGCTTCAACTGAATGAGGACAACATAGATGAGATTGTCAGACACATGGTGCCACCGATGAAAGAGAACTTCGATAAATATTGCGAGGAAGTTAGTGATGTTTTTGCAATGGCAGCAATCTTCGATCCACATTTTAAGCTTTCAATTGTCGAATGTTGTTTAGGGAAGCTTGACATGAGCAATGTTGTTTAGGGAAGCTTGACATGAGCACACGTGATGAAAAATTGAAGAACTTGCGGGAGAAGCTTAGTACTTTGTTTGAGGCATATGACAAAAACTCAAAGAATAACTCACTTCTACAGAGCCACTTGAGACTGTTTCACAACAAGCATGTGCGACAAGGTCAATAAGACTGTTTCAGAACTACGATGTGAGTGTTATTTCAATTTTATCCTTCTGTTCATATATTTTTAATCTCTCTAATTTTTTTTCTAAAACTTTCTTAGGATTTCTTTGCATTTCGAAAGTCAGTGGCGTTGTGAGCAGAAAGACACCTCTAAAAGCTTATCTTGATGAACCACCGTTGGAAATTACTAATTTCCAGAGTTTAGACATCTTCGATTGGTGGAAAGATAATGCGCATCGGTATGGTGATTTGGCTGCAATGGCATGTGATCTATAACAATGAATGTATTTTACCGTTTCACTGTGAAAATTGATTTTTCTTTCTAACCCAGTTCTGTGTATTTTATGTTAAATAATAATGTTTTCCAAAAAGAAACATGGGGCCTAAAGCTTAAAGAAAATTAAAGATTATATGCTTTTGCACTCTTAGCACATGTATATAGTCGGGTTAATCTATCTGAAAATACTCGAACCGAAACCAAATAAAAAATTTATAAATATTTAGTTAGATCCAAAATTTCTTTACCCAAAGAATCAAAACCAAAAAAATCATCTGGATAAATTTAGATCCGAATAGATCTGATCCGAGAAAAACCAATTTATATTCTACATAAAACATAAATATTTTTTTAACTAATAAAACATAAATATTTAATACTATAACTTTATGTGTTCTATTTTTCTTATGTGGACTATGACCTTTCCATAAGTTAGTATCTGGATTAAGAAATACATACTCTTTGTCGCAAATCTATTGACCAGTTTAATCAGATCCTTTATATTCTTGTGGTTTTAGATTGTTTGCCTCATATCTTCAATATTTTGCGAGATGCCAATAAAGCAAACGAGACGACAAGCTTTAACATACCACTTTAGAAAGAACTTCATTCTTGGTCATTTGGTAGGATCAATCTCCCAATGATCATTCTACCAAGGCATGATCATTTATTCTCTGAAAATTAAAATAGGAACCAGGCCTGGCTTAAAGTTTGCAAGAACTATGTGCTGCAAATTGTCAGCCTCGAGAGAAATATACTTGATGTTACAGAGTAAATTGGTTACTACATTGTCTAATTTGAGTTTGGAATGTCTTGCGACTAATGCTAGATGATGGATTGATCAGTTACAACATATACCATGTTTCAGTTCTCATGGAAAATCGAACTCAAGACCAACATGTATACATGCTGAGCCACAAGAAATTACCACTAAGCTACTACCACTTGGTTACTGCTGCAAATTTTGTTGTTGTTTTAAAATAATGATAAACCAATTTAATCTGGTAATAGGGCTGTGACCTATAACAATGAATGTATTTTACCGTTTCACTGTGAAAACTGATTTTTTTTTCTAGCCCAGTTCTATGTATTTTATGTTGAACTAGGATAAACCCGCCCTACAGGCAGACGAATAAATATACAAATTTATTTTAAAATTTTAATTTACTTTTATAAAAAAATACCATTAAGGTTTACAATTTATTTTCAAAATTTTTATCTATGCATTTAATATTCAGAAATTATTAAATTGTCTAATTATAAAAAAAAATTAATTATTTAATTTCTCCTAATGTTTATTTAGTTTAACTATGCCA